TCCCCGCCTCCCTCTCTCCATATCCTATCCCCACCTCCCTCTCTCCCTATCCTACCCCAACTCCCTATCCTACCCCCACCTCTATCACTCCCTATCCTATCCCCGCCTCCCTCTCTCCATATCCTATCCCCACCTCCCTCTCTCCCTATCTTACCCCCACCTCCCTATCCTACCCCCACCTCCCTCTCTCCCTATCCTATCCCCACCCCTCTCTTCCTATCCTACCCCACCTCCCTATCTCCCTATCCTACCCCACCTCCCTATCTCCCTATCCTACCCCCACCTCCCTCTCTCCCTATCCTACCCCACCTCCCTCTCTCCATATCCTATCCCCACCTCCCTCTCTCACTATCCTACCAGGCTATCCCCACCTCCCTCTCTCCCTATCCTACCCCCACCTCCCTCTCTCCCTATCCTATCCACGACTCCCTGGTCGCGTGGGAGGGCCAGTTTGGGAAGCGAGCGCGAGGCAAGAGGAGAGAAAGAGGTGCCAGACGCACGAACCGCAACCAAAGGCAAGTGACACACACCGGCTCCAAGGTAAGTAATGCAAAACTGCAAACAAGCGGCGAGCGAACAACACAACTAACGTGTGATGTATAGATCATAAATATAGAATGCCCATGTCAGAAATAACACATAAGATAAAAATGTCAACGGCGACGATGATGATGATAATAATAATAACAATGATATTAATAATTAATAATAATTAATAATAATAGTAATCATAATAACAGTAGCAAGGAAGAGTGTGTCATTGGTAATCAAAAAGCAGCAAAAACTCTTGCGCGTATAATATATATAATAATCATAAATGTAGTTTATGAAACAGTGAGTGAAAGTTCGAAAGTGATGGCTTTCAAAACGTGACGGAACAGGCAACTTTCCCGAAAAAACAAAAAATCAAAAGTGTCGAAAAAATATCAAGATCCAAAAACCAGTCCAGAGAAGTGTGTGTATATATATATATATATTTATATATGTGATATATATGTATATATATATATATATATATATATATCACATATATAAATATATATATATATATATATATATATATATATCACATATATAAATATATATATATATATATATATAATAACAATCATCTGTGAGCACTACAGCTAAGGTCAAAGGTCAAAGTTGAAAGGTCATGCTGTCTACCAGCTAGTGGCTTAACTCACCGATCGAAACGCCTAAGACAGCACAACAGCACAAGGTACTCCGTTATTTCTCCACCCTGCTAAGCCGCGCACAGTGCATCACAACTTTACCCATGCATGGCGGCTCGTCAACGAAGGCACACAGGCAATAGGAGGGGTAAAGGTTCGGGGGGAGGAGGGAGCGGCAGGCGTGGCGGATGCTGGACAGGGGGAGGGAGAGAGGAGGGAGCGGCAGGCGTGGCGGATGCTGGACAGG